ACACACCGATCAGCCGTGTCTGACGAATTATAGTCTGACACCAGCTTTCTTAAGCAGTCAGTTTGCTTTCTCTTTATACTGCCAATTAACCTCGAACATACTTCAGTAATAAACAGCACCATACACAATCATGAGCAACTCCAGCTTCAAATTGCCTCAGTGTTTAGTAGCGCTTCATTCTCTTGACTGGATAAAAATTGTTTCTTATTTATAGAACTGAGTCCTAATTGGCTCCTACAAGCTTTCCAACAACGGAAATACAATGTGAATGTTATCTGTATCACCGGGGAAGAATGAGATTGGAAAACTTCTAGCAAATATTTGACACTTTCTTCTTCTACTTGATTAAAACTTCAAACAACAGCCTTATGAAAATCAGTCAGTATCGCCTCTTATTTATCTTAGTTATCGAGCCTCTTTTTGGGGATTCTCAAGTGCAACTCCACCAAACGTGATGAGCAGAAATCGTATATTTGTTACATTTAAAGCAGACAGTAAATGCACCACATGTAAGGAGACCTCCAGAGTGCAAGAGGTTAAATTTAAGACCATTTATTCATAACTTTCACTGTAAAGAAAATAAACTTATCATCCCTTATCATGTCCTTTATATTAAGCCTGTTTTATATCATTCATGTTTACTACCTAAACTCACCGGTCACTCTATTAGTCGCACTTTGCTTTTAGTGTGTTGGACCTCCTTTTGCCTTCAGACCTGTCTTAATTAGCAGCAGGCAGCAACAAACAGCAGCAGCAGTTGTTTTTCAGCTGCACATCCATGATGAGAATCAGAGAAAGTGGCTACACTGTGATCATGAAGTAGCAGTAACACTCAGGTAGGCAGTACTATTTAAATTATGCTTAAGTGATGATAATATCCCCCACACCAATACATCGACAACAACCTGAACATTTGATACAAAGCAGGATGCTGTTTATGGTAAATTCTGACTCTACCATCCAAATGTCACTGCATAATTTGAGACTCATCCAATCATGCAACCTTTTTCTAATCTTCTGTTGTCCAATTTTGGTGAGCCCGTGCGGATGACTGCCTCAATTTTCTTATTCTATCTGACAGGAGCGGCACCCAGTGTGGTCTTCTGCAGCTTTAGCCCACCTGCTTCAAGGTTTGAGATGTTGTGCGTTCAGAAATGGTCTTCTGCATACAAGTGGTTATTTGAGCTACTTTTGCCTTCCTGTCAGCTCAAAGCTGCCTCATCATTCTCCTCTGACATCAACAAGGTATAGGATAGGTGTACCTAGCAAAGTGCAAAGCGACTGCAAAGTTGCTTGAATTGTTCAAGTCACTTGAACATCCCTTTGTTTTTTGTACTGCGCTGGATATTGCCTTACAAGTAATTATACTGGTTTGGGTGTTTCGAGACTTTAAAGTCTTCAGGATTATCCATGCAGTGCCAAACACTGTGTCCCCAAAGGGAGCAGCTAATGCACCAGTGTCTTTAATCCAGAGTCAACTTAACTGATGCCTTAGAGAAAAGTTAAAGGAATCAAGGGCATCCCAGACTGGCATTACACTCTATTCAGTCGTGGTTTCTGCTCAGAAGTACATTTTAGGAACTATTCAAACACACAATTCTTTCAATTTTCCTATTTTCATGACGTGTTTGTCATTTTATTCTGACCTACATATGCAGGACAATTGGGAAAAGCTGACAAAATAAGAAATGCAAAGAGGAAAAAAAAGAGCAGATAAAGTAAGAGATGGAGGTCTCCTAGCAGCGGTAAGAGGAGACGCGCTGTTGTTGAGAAGCAGAAGTGTAGCATGAGGAGCACAGGAAATGTCATGAAATATGTAGGAAGGAGCAGCTCAGCACCGGAACACAAAGCCATTAAAGAAAGCCCTGGAAAATGCAGTCAGCTAGAAATATAAACGTCCATTTCCGTATCGTTCATAAATACTCTCACGGATAAAAGCACACACACGCTTTCACATCTCCTGGAAAAAAAAAAAAGTAAAAGCTTTAATACTCATGTACACAGTTTAACACATTCTTGTGCTCTCAGAGATGCAAGCACGAAACTGTACATGCATTATCAGCACTAAACGCAAAGAAAACAGAGCCAATCTTGTCTCTCCTCTCTCTGCTCTCCTCCTTCTCTTCCACTGGACCTGAAGATGTTTTGTAAATCATTGATTGAGTACATGCAGGAAACCAGCGAGACAGCTAGTCTGACATGCAGCAAATGCTCTCGGTGTTTCGGGTTAAACAGCAGGCCAGCGGACAACTCGCTCCGAAGGCGGTTTAGGGCGAGAAGAGGTGGCGCTCTGAGCTCTGAGCACTCTCTTCGCCCTCAGCCCCGTACAACTCACAGGCTTGTCAACAAGGTGCTTCAGCTGTGTGGAGGATTTGGTGCAGTGCTGAAGATGTAAGTGAAAAAACTATAGCACAGTACAATAGAATCCAGTCATATTGTGACTTGGCACTTATTTGCTGTTCAGCATTTCATATATTTTTATGTGTAATAATGCATCATAAACTGGAAGACTGACGGGATTTTATGTTTATCTCTCTGGCAGCAGCTGCAGCTCAGGGCTGGAGGGGCTGTGGAGCCTCACAGGATTTAGTTTGTTTGTGAAAACTGGAGGAAACTATACTTTCCTTTGTTCAAGCAGTCTTAAAACGTCCCAGCGTTAGATCTCAGGTGAGGATAGTTAAAGGATTCATTGACTGGATCCAAGGATCGGGTTTTACAAAGCACCTTGATTTGGATTTGACAGGATTTCAGTTTTGTTGTGGTTTTAATTTTGTGCTTCAGTTATCAGTCTGCCTGAGCGAATGTCTTCACTTATAGTTGACATTTTCATTTCAGATTAAAAAAAGATTACTGTTGCTGGCTATCAGCATGGCTAAATGATCACAACACTGGATGACCTGGACTGCAATCCAGCAAAAGTTCAGAGAAGGTAACAAAACTAATGGAGATGAAGAGAAACAGCATTTATTAAAGCTGTATGTGTCCGCTACAAAACAAGACGAGGGTGACTTCTTCTCTTTGTCTAGTCTATTTCTCTTGATCTCAATTCAGTCTCAAGGTAAATAGTGTTTTCCCCCTTTTCTGAACTAACATATATATTTATTCAGGATCAGACACAGTATTACCACATACTGGACAGTATGGCAGATTTTATTTTATTTTTTTACAACACATGCCCTTCCTGACACACACCGGTGGGATTTGTGTCTCTTTTCAGAATCGAACCAACAATATTTTGCTTTTTGGACAAACGTGGGACCAACTACACTAGGAGAGCAGCAAAAAATGTCTTCTTCTTTCAAATAAGAGGACTTCTGACAAACACATTACACATAGCAGGGCAAAGGATGCTTTTGGAAAGACTTATGCCACACCTTTATGTGACATTAAAGATATTAAAGCACAGAGTTGATCTTTTCCTGTTAATATTATTCACAAGCCCATTTTTAAAGTAATGAAAATTATTGTTTTTCTTGGTATATATGTGGGTACATTTATTTTAACAGAAATAAAAAAAATTGAAAGTAAGTTGCAGATCTTTTCAGCAGCTCATGTTAGGTCAAACTGCAAAAAGCAAATGAAAGTGATAGTTATAGACTCGGTTTCTCCACAATGGAGGTAGCTCAGCATAAATACCTGCATCACGAACTCAGTGCTTTACAGTGACTGTCTTCACTGTCTGATAAAGACACTTGCTGCTGCTGGTGGTAGAGGGTATGTATTATCATCTCTGTGGCAAACAGAAATGAGACCACACAAGTAAAGCACATCAGTGTTTCCGTCTCTCTCCCACTCAGCCAGCCACAGCCTCTCATAATTGCAATCAATAACTCAAACAGTTTCCGTCCATGTTATCACTACTATCATCATCACCACCACGCCCATGGCGCTCCATCGTTTCATCTTCTGTAAATCAAAGTTCATGAGACTTCACTCTATGGCAGTCACATCTAGCCACGGTGACCACAACGCAAATGCATGGATCGCTACTGGGCTTGCTGTTTTCTCTCCACTGCCTGAATCATCTGAGCAAGGCAGCAACCTCTCAGTAATTTACAGCAGAAGGGAAATTAAGGAGCAAGCTCTTATTAAACGACGAGTCATAATAATAATAATAATAATAATAATAATAATAATAATAATAATAAGCGTGAGGTTGTTGCAGCCCTCTAGTTTTAATTCTCCATGCCTGCGTAAAATTGATCCACTGCGTCCACGTGACATTCGCAATTATCAAAGACTACGAGATGGACTGGTAGATGAGACGCGCGAGGCTTTAATCTACCTGAATGCTGCAGGAGATCTCGGAGTCGTCCAGTAACCGGATCGTACAGAGGATCTCCTGGTCCAAGGAGCGGAGGCTGGGGCTGCGAAACCGGAGCATTTTCATCCTTCTGTCGGTTCTGTTTCAGCCCCTCATGTCGGAGGTTCCACAGACAAGACCAGACGCGCGCAGAGGCTCACGCACACGGATGACTCACGCACACGCACGCGTCCGCGTATACATTGCCGTTCAGTCGGGTCTTGTCACCCCTTGAGACGCCCTTGGAGATGAATGGGTGGATGGGGTGGTGGATGGTTAGATGGATGGATAAGAGAGCGGATGGATGCAGCAGAGAAGGATGGGAGGAGAGCTTTCATCCGTCTCCAGCCTGCCCACTGATGGATCTACAGGACGGAGGATGGTTTTCCCTCTACTCCTCCTCTCTCTCTCTCTCTCTCCCTCTGGCTCAACCCCACTTCACCCTTCTCATTGCTCCTCATTGCAATTACATCCAAATGACACGGGAGACCTGGCGAGTGTAGATTGCCCTGTCCTGTGGATACCCTTTGATTATAACTAGTTAGCAATTATAACAAGTGTTATTATTTCAGAGGTTGCTGATGCTGCAAAAACGGCATCTTTACCTTCCATATGCATTTAAATGTTTGCGTTAGCGATAAATAATAAAACTCATATAATATATATGTATTGTTACTGATATTTCCTCATTGTAACGACACTCAAACTGAGATTAAATAATTAATTCCATCGGTAATGACGTCAGAGACAATTTCGTTGTAACGCAACACCGCGGTCCCTTTAATTGTTAACGTAAGCGACGTGCTTTGTGCGTCATCACGTCCCTTAGCAAAACAGCCAGAGGCCATGGTCCAAATCGTTCGTTCATGGGATGTTATCGCCTCTTTCATGCGCCGGAGTCACGTTCAGCAGGCAGGTCTCACATTTTTGTTACTGTTTGTTTCAGCTTTTCAGGAAGGCTTGATTTTTTTTTCGTGACGTAAAACTGAGACTGTGTTTTCTTTAACGAACAGCAGCTGTAAACGTCCTAAAGTCTGCCAGTAAAGATTGAATTGAATTGAATTTTAGTGGGAGGCTGCACTTCAGCTGGACTTCCGCGCTTAAGAACTGATCGCTTTTTATAGCTACGGAAGCTCCACCCGTTCATTATAAAGGCGGCATCGGTTACAGTTTAAACGTTCAGTTAACTGGATAGAGCAAAAAAACAACCCAGGAGATTAGTCCTTAAGGGAACTATCATTAGCTGTAGAAAACATTTATGCATGCACTCATCGGCCACTTTATGAGGTATCACGTTGGCCCACCTTTTACCTTCAAAACTACCTTAATTCTTCATGGCATGAATTCAACAAAGTGCTGGAAACATTCCTCAGATGTTTTTGCTTCACACTGACATGATAGCATCAGGTGCAGATCCCAAAGATGCTCTACTGGATTCAGATCTGGCGACTGTGAACTTATTGTCAGGAAACCAGTGTGAGATTATTTGAGCTTTGTGGCATGACTTGGCATCCTACTGGAAGCACCCATCAGATGATAGCAACACTGTCGTTATAAAGGGTTTAAATGATGGTCAATTCAGTTTTAAGGGGTTCAAAGTGTGCCGAAAAACCATTCCCCACACCATTACACCACCAGCAACAGCCTGTACTGCTGTTACAATGCAGGACTTGTTGTGAGCTTTGCTTCTTATCCTGCTGAAAACAGCCATCAGAAGATGGTTAAAGTGTGGTTATAAAGGGATGGACCGATGACTCCAGAAAACAGTCATTGGGATGGACGTGGTCACCAACAGTACTCTGGTAGGCTGTGGTGTTTACTTGAAGCTCAGTTGGTACTAAGGGGCCCAAAGTGTGCCAGTGAAATATCCCCCACACCATTTCCACTCCATCTCTAGCTAAAGCTCTGATACAAGACAGGCTGGATCAAGAATTTCATGTTGTTTACCCCCAGATTTCTGACTGTGTACCATCCCAAAGAACTGACGCTCATGAGATATTTTCTCTTTTTTAGACCAGTCTCTGTAAACCTTTGAGATGCCTGTGTGAGAAAATCCCAGCATATCAGCAGTTTCTGAAAAACTCAGACCAGCCCACGTGATACCAACTAGCATGCCGCATTCAAAATCATTCAAATCACCTTCGTCTCCCTTTGTGATACTCTGTTTGAACTTCGGCAGGTTGACCACATCTGATGTACTTAGTTGCTGCCATGTTATTGGCTAATTAGATATTTGTGTAAACAAGCAGTTGAACACGTGTGCCTAATAAAATGGCCAGTTAGTTCTCATGATTGTCGTTATTAATTTGACTTAAGTAAAATGTTCAGTGGGTGCTTTTCACTTCTAATGAAGTATTTTTACAGTAATTTATTAGTATTGATTTAAACTCTAAAAGCTCTAAAATCTTACAATCAGATATATTTATTTCCTTTTTCTTGTTTAATCCTTTTCAGGAAAAACCTGCTTTAAATATAGTGCATGAAGAACCACAACCAGGATGATCTACATCATAATGGGAGTCTCGGGTTGTGGAAAGTATGTACGCAGTATGTTCATGTATTTCATGCATAAGTGCTTTGTGAAACAAAAGTAAATGAGTTTTTTCTGTACCATTATAACCATCAGTATATAATCATACCCTGTTTAATAGAGATTATATTGACAGACAATGGCAATTTTATTTATATTACACATTTTATTACATGTAAACTCAATGTGGTTAACACACAAAATAAAGACATAAAAACAATGTCTTAAGACAGTGAAAACAGCACAAAAAAGAAGTAGAAACTTCTCACAGCTAAAAGAGAAGGTCCATGTAAGTATTTTCAAAATTAGTTAATAATAATATCATATTTTCATGATATTAAAGGATGCTGACAGTTGTTTTATTGTAACATTTCTCAAATGTTGCTAAACCAGTTTTGTCCTTGATACTCTCTATTTATTTATTTTAAATATAGAAGCACCTTTGGGATCTTCCTATCTGAAAAGGTAAGTAGCCTCAACTCTAACCAACAACCTCCCTACACACACACACACACACACACACACACACACACACACACACCTCCCTCTTGGTTCCTTGTGTGCCTAATACTCTTCTGTCCATGTGTGTTTACCCATCAGCT